GGGGGATGTGTCCCAGCATCTACCGGTAAGACTTTGGAGAAGGTCTTCAAATCCCAAATTTTGGGTTGGAATCTAGTTGACTCTTCTCTTTTCTTTGCTTTTCTTTTCTTCTCTTTTTCTCCTCTCCTCTCCTCTCCTCCCCTTCCCTTCTTTCCCCTCCCCTCTCCTCTTCTTTCCTCTCTTCCCCTCTCCTCCCCTCCCCTCTCTTTTCCTCTCCTTTCCTCTCTTCTCCTCTCTCCTTCCCTCCCCTTCTCTTTTCTTTTCTTCCCTTCCCTTCTTTTCTTTAGATTCATTTATTCATGCATACAGAACTGGGGTACAGGGACGGTGAGAGGATTCACCAGAGACAGAGTGGGGAACAGAACAGGCAGATACATACACCAAGTACACTGCTGAGGGGAGCATCAGGCAAGACAGGAGGTCTGCCGTGTCATGTGGGTCACCCCCTAACAGGGGATGGCACTCATGCTGAAGTGGCTGCAGTTAGCTTCCTAGTGCAGGACTTTAACCTGGTGCACCACCAGGGAGGACCCCTAATCAGCTTTTCTTGACCTGGCCTGTGTCCCCAACCAAGCTGGAGTCTCAGTCATATTTACATATTCATGTAAATTTCAGGACAAAAAGGAGAAACAGAAAAAAATTGCCCAGAACATCTATGCCACACACAAAAAAACTTTGTTCCCATTTTGAACTAATATTACACATCTATTTTCCTCTTCCCTACCCCCCCTTTTTTTCTAGAAGCCTATCTTGACTACCTCTTTTCAAACTGTGAACCATTTCATTCTGCAAATCTGCACTCTGTTTAACCTTTTCTCCACAGCATTATTATTTCCCAAACTTCTTTTAATTTTCCAGTTTTTGGTTGAAAAAAAAAAACTGTCCCCAGGGGCAGGCATTTTGCTGCGTCCAGTAGGTGCTTAGTAAATATCTGTGGAGTGAAGGAAACCTTACAGACATAAGTAAAATTAAGCTAATAACCACCTGAGTAAACACTGGCATGAAGTTAAGTCCAAATCTGGGCCTCCGTGAGCCGCCTGGAAACTCACCAGAGCCCAGGAATGGCTCAGCTGACCTGCAGGGACAGTGGGAGATGAGTCTTGTCCAGAGCACATGGCCACAGAGCTGGATGCTCGGCGGCTGTGCAGCCTTGGGACAGTGGCTCTAACACACCCTACCTCAGTGTTCCTTGTCAGTAAAATGGCAGTCGTGACAGTTCAGCTCTGCAGGTGCAGATTATCTCATGTCATATTAATGAAGGAAGCAGTGCCTGGCCACTGCTACTACTATATGTCACTTCACCACATCCCAGTCAACAGGGGTCACATGGGTGTCGTGGTCCTGGCTGGCTCTGGCGTCCAGCTTGGGTCGAGTGGCTGTGCCATCTGGGTTTTTTTAATTAATTTTTGTGAAGAACTAGGGTGTCGGTAGGTCAGCTTCCAGGCTGGGGATGGAACTCAGGCCATAGTGGTGATAGCACTGAGACAACCTCTGGCCACGGGGAGGCCCTGCCATCTGGGCTTGCAGTGGCCCTGTGGCGCTCACACAGTGAAGCTGCCTCATGACGCATTTCTCAGAACTCAGCTCTGCTGCAAGATGACTCATGGCTGGGATTATTTTTAAATGCTTTTAAAATTGAGCTGCTGTATATTATTCCTTTATATCATTCCACTTATCTTCATTTAGGGTCCCAAGGAACAACCCCTAAGAATGGAGTTCTAGAGTGTAATTATTTGGGAGGTCAGTCCTAGGAGCCACAAGTAACCCCAGCAACTCTCCCCCCACCCACTCAGCCAACCAATTTTGGCCGGGTTCTGAGGGCACTCCCAGCTGTGGGCCCAGGAGGGAAGGAGCTGGGGCATTCTCAGCACTTCTCCTTTTATCTATGGTCTGTGCTGCTTCCAGGAGCTTCCAGTGGCCACAGCCCCTCAGCAAAGAAAGGCAGGCGTTACAGCTAGGCTGTGCTTGCTGACTGGTGCTCTCTCAGGGTCACACTTTATTTTCACACCACCCCTAAAAGGTGTTCAGAGGTTTCCGAAAATATATTGTCACTAACCATCTGATCTCAAGTACTTCTTTCTAGAAAGTAAACAAAACTTTACTTTCTGAGTGCAATTTGGGGGCACCGCTGGGCCACCATCTGGCCGTCCCCATCCCACCATAGGACACTTAACCAGTCCATTCATGACTCTGCTTTGACCTGTGTTTCTTCCGTAAAAGGACAGCAAAACCACCAGAAGGGTGGCTGTGAGGGTGTGAGACAGATGTGGACATGAGTGTGTATGACCCTCCCCAGGCTCCAGAGTCCAGGACTGAGACCTCCAGAACTCCAGACTCCTCCCAGAGTTCCAGATCCCAGGCCCCAAGTTTCCTCAGATTCATGTCCAAAACCGCCCCAGCCCTCCAGCTGGCCTCTGTCCCCCTCCCCCCTTACCCCTTCCTCCCCAGTGCTGTGCCTGCTGCTTCCTCTTTCCTCATTTCCTCCTCCTCTAAGAGGCCTCGCCACTCCCATGGCCTGGGGCATGGCGACCTCACCTGCACCCAGGCTCAGGTGCCTCCCAGGCCCAGCAGGCGGGTGCCCGACTTCCCTCTCTGCCTCTCAAAAGCTCAATATCGTATGTGTGTTCATGGCTGATTTTTGTGTTTTAACTAAACTGTGATTTGCCTCCACTCTGATAAGATCTTAAAATACAAAACATAAAAAAGTACATGGTGAGTTTCTCTCTTCCATCTGCCTGCCACCAAGAGGTGACCACGGCCATTTGCTTTTGTGTTTTACCAAAAGGAAAATTTTCTTGCTTTTTTCACTTAAACTTCTTCTCTCAGAGTCTCTCACCCAATCCTGTGCCTACCTCAGGGCTTTGCACAAGAGGTCCATCCCCAGGATGCCCCGAGTAAGCCTGCTTATCCTTCTGACTCAGGGTCCTTTGAGGGTCCTTTTAAATCACCGTCACCCTCCCCTTGCTTCTGCCTGTATCTTTCTCTGCATCAGTCCCCAACACCACTGTATGTGTTTCTTCATAGATCGTGCATGTGCCCTACCTCAGCTGCTGTAAGAACTTCACAGGGCAGGGATTTTATCTATTTTGCCCAGACAGTGGGAATTTGCTAAAACTTTGTGGAGAAAATGAATGGGTGTTTGCTTATTGCTTCTCAGAGATCTCTAATTGCTTTGGCTCTGTGAGACCTCCCAGAACGGATGAGCTGTTACTGAGCTAACCAATTCCTTTGGTTCTTTCCGGTTTCTCCCCACTGGATACCAAAGAGTGGAAGACGTGTAGTCATGTCTTTTTTTTTTTTTTTTACTGTGCAAAATAAACTTAAGATTTACCGTTTTAAAGTGAACAATTCAGCAGTTTTTAGTGCATTTATAATGTATATAGTTAGCACCTCCATCTAGTTCCAGAACATTCCATGCATCCTTTCTCCCCCACCTCTGACAACCACCCCTCTGCCTCCTGCCTGAGTCTGCCTGTTCTGGACATTTCAGGTAAGGATCACACCCCTGAGGCCTTTTGTGCCTGGCCCCTCACTCAGCACTCTGTTTTCAGGCTCATCCACGTTGTATGTGTGTCAGGGCTTCCCTCCTTTCCGTGGCTGTGATACTCCACTGTGTGGACGGACCTCATTGTGTTCATCTATTATGATTATTTCACACCTGGCGTTTTGCAAGCAGACAAACACTTAGGAGAATCTTAGGAGCGGGATTGCTGGGCCAGCGCATGCATGTCTTCACCAACCTGGTGGCCTGTGCGTGTTAGGAGGGTTGGCTTGCCTCCTCACACTGGTGCAGCAAGTGTTATCACACTTTTGAATTTTTCCAGTCTGATTGGTGGAAACAAACAGTTGCTGAGAGTTGTCATGGCTTGTAATTTCTTATTAGAAGTATGTTGAGGTATGTTAAGAACCTACCTCCAAGTTTGGCAGTGGGGAGAGAGAGAGACGAAGGAGAGGAGGGGAGCAGACTCCAGTCTCTCAGGGCTCAGGAGAAGATTTGAATATTCACCCATTTCATAGACACGGAGCCACAGCGTGCTTGAGGAGACACAGTAAGTCAGGGACGGGACTGGATCGCAGCCTGGCTTCCCTGATGGCCTTACCCATCACTTCACTTCCTCCTTGATTTCCCTTTGTCATCACCCCTTGGGTCTGGCTAGTAACTCCCGCTCCCTCTGGATCCAAGAGACCCGCTCCGAAGGGATTTTTTGATACAAGGCCATCCCCTGCACACACCTGCCTTGGCGCTCCAGGGCCCTCAGAATAAAACCTCACTCAGCCTGGAGTGAGGGTGACCTCCCCTCACCATCTCCTCCTCTCTCTGCTCCAGCCAGCACCCCCCACCCCACACTCAGCCAGCCTCTCTCTGGCTGTGCCTTCACGTCTGCCTACGACTCTGACTCATCCTCCAAGGCCCAGACTTAATGTCCCCTCACAACACCCTCCAGTCTGGCAGCACCATCGTGTGTGAATTATCATCTCCCAGAGTGTGGTGGAGTCAAAGGCAGGTTTTCAGGAATCTTTGGCAAAGTCCTCCTCAGGTACAGAAACTCTAATTCTAGCCTTGCCGCCACCAAGAAGCCTTCCCCTGTCCCTCCCTCTCCTCCTGGCCTGGGCTCCTCTGGACCGGAGGGGTGTCATTGTCCAGGTTGGTCCTCTCCTGAGACTGACTGCTGCTCCCCATGCTCAGTCCTCTTGGGGGTTCAGCATGGGTAATGTATGTTGAGTGAGTAGATGAATGTGTCGAGAATCAAGTGACATGAGATTAGCAAATTGATGAGGTAGCACGCACTTGGGGGGTGTTTAAGGGGGACGTGTATGTTTCGGGTTCGGCAAGAGGGAAGCAGGACCCTGGGCTGCCACTCCCCCTCCCGTGAGAACCCCAACCTTGAGGCCTTGCTTGGGGGCGGGTCTCCTTTCAGCTTTATTCTTCCCCTCCGCACTCCACCCGGACACCAGTTCCTCTTCCCTCTGAGTGAGTCTCAGGTTGCAGAGCCCAAGGACCGCCTGGGACCGCAGGGACCTGCGGAGGTGCCTGAGGCGATCCTGGCCCCAGTCCAAGGGACCGGCGCAGCCCCAGGGCACTGGAGTCTTCGAGCAGCTGAGGCAAAGGGTGCTTGCTGGTGAGCCCTGAAAGGTAGGACTGCGTGCACTGGGATTGGGTCTGTGCAGGGACTGAAGGCTAAAGCTGGGGGTGCCCAGCCCACCCCAGGGCGGGGAGCTCCCAGCAGGTGGAGGAGAAAACAATCAGAGGCTGTTGCCATTTCAGGGCAACATTGGCATTCGGCCCTATCTTAGCCAATGGCCAGTGCGGGTTCCTGTAAAGGGGAGGTTTGGGGGGGCGGGATGCGGCAGTGGGCAGCTTAGCTGGAAGGAGTGCATCTGCCTGGAGGGGAAAGGGCTGACTGAGGCAGGGGTCTTTGGTCTTCCATTCCCAGAGGGAGAGACAGAGGTTGGGAGCAAGAGCTGGGTAACCAGGGGCTGAGTTTTACCATTTTAACCAGGGCCTGAACTGCTCCGAGCTATAAAACAAAAAACCGAAAAACCCCGGCGGTAAGGGTTACCACAGGCTGAGGTCAGGGCTTGGATCCGGTGTCTCTGCCTAGGTGTCTGCATGGGGGACGCCCTGGCCTTGGTGCTGTTGCTGCCGCTGCTGCTGCAGACTGCAGGCAGCAAGGAAATAATGTCCTGCGAGGTGTACTCGGGGCCTGTGAACTGGACCAGCCCGTTTCCGGACAAATGCTTGAACTTTAGTGGCAAAAACCTGACCCAGCTTCCGAACCAGTCTCTGCAGGCTAGAGACTTGGAATTCCTGTATCTGTCTGGGAATGGCCTTCGAGAACTCCTGTGGACCTCCTTCAGACAGCTGAATAAGCTGAAGCTCCTGGATGTGACAGACAACCCACTGGAAAAAATGGAGCATCAGTTGGCCACACACTGTGAGCTTCAACTGAAGGCAGACTGCAGCTGTGCCCTAGAATCCTGGTACCAGCTACGGCAAGACAACTGCTCTGACCACCTGGAGTGCCTGGACAGAACAGGCTACACCTGGCACAATTTCTCCACTTTCCCCTGCCCCCATGGCCCGAGCACTATGACCACTGTGGCACTGGCGGTGAGTGGAAGCCTGCTCCTTGTGCTTGCCATTGCTGGCCCAGTCTTGGCCTGGGGACTCCGGGGGCGCCGGACATCTAGTAATCCAATCCAGGGCAAAATGTGGACTGCTCAGGACAGTCCCAAGCCTGGCTGGAATCAGCAGCCTCGGTATAGTAACCGGGGCTTCAGCCCGAAGCCTCCAGCAGCTGCCCTGCCCAGCCCCTCCTCACCTGACTATGAGAATATGTTCCAGGGTCAGCCAACTGCCAGGCACAGGTGAGTGATTCACACACTAGCCTGCAAATCTCTGGAGCTAGGAGGCTAGGGTTCAACTCTCTGCCTTTCGCAAGCTGGGTGACCTTGGGCAAGTAACTTTCTTTGGGCCTCAGTTTCCTCATCTGCAAAATGGTGGTAACATATCCCACCTCAAGGGTTTGGGATTAGAACTGAGTTGAGTTCCTGTATATGGCACCAACTCCCTCCCTATAACCCACAAACCAAATTTCTGGCAGACAAGGATGAGGAGAGAGGAGACGAGTACTCAAGATGGAGCTGGGGCTCTGTGGTGAGAGTCAGCAGCCTGGGCTCAGCTCTCCTGTGACCTGGAACTCTCTCTGGACTTCTGTTTCTGTCTCTGTAGAATGGGACAGCCCTCTACTCCACTCCCCTTGACACACAGGAGAGGCTAAGTAGGCCATTTGTATTTGTGTCCGTCTCCCTTCATGAAGGCCTGACACGTCCAGATGATTTGGCTGGGCTTAGGTAAATGGGTTCAACTTTTTCAGACTGGATGAGGAAATGGAGGATATTTCAGGAGGCGGCACAAGAGAGGGGTGTGGAAGGTGCGGGGAGAAGGCCACGAGGTAGGAGAGAACAGAGAAAGAGCTGTGAAAGGGGCCTTAGAAGGCAAGACTTGGAGTTGAGCCTGGAGGAGCCTGGTAGGATCCAAGCTGGAGGGGAACAGGGTCATGGCTGGGTTTGGCAATCAGAGTCCACAAGGTGGGGAAGCCAGTGGCATGCTGTTGGTGAGAAATGAAAGAATATGCAAAGCAGACGCAAATAGATTCAAAAGCAGAAGTGGTCTGTGCAGGGAGCTGAAGGCCCAAGGCTCAGGGAGGCAGCTGGTGTTCCCACACTGGCTCAGCTTCACCCTCACCAAGTCCTCAGGCCAGTCTCCTTCAGAAATATGATTTAAAATTGACTGTGTCGTTCCCATACTGTGTTTCACTGTTGCACAAAGGAAGGGCCTGGGAGAAAGGGGCTGGCTTCCCACAGCTACAGTGGGTCAGAAGTGGAGGCAGTGGTGTTCGGGTCTCCATATGAAAATGTAGATGACTGACGGACAGTGGCCATGGTTATGGGGGGGCTAGGATGGTCTAGGGGCAGGCAGTTCTTCTTTCAGGGTCTTGCCTGCCATAGTTAGACATTCCTAAGAAACTATCTCCTTTGTAGACCATGGTCACAAAGTCAGTTACTTTGGGGACCTGGAGAAACATTTCCCATCTAAAGGGGAAGATTCTGTTTGACTTCAGCCATTTCTGTCCACATGACTGGTGTGACCAGTGCTGCTGATTTTTCAAGAGGAAAGAGGTCTAGATTCTAATGTAAAAAAATGAACAACTATGTCCTCTAAGGAAGGAAAAAACCCTACCATGAGCTCAATGTCATCAGACCATAGCATAATATAATGCTGAACCCACAGAATCTCCTCTGGATCATGGGCCTTTACTTCCTTTCCTCAGAAAAGGTTGGACTGAGGTGGCCCATGCCTCACTTTCCTCCTAGGAGTGAACTCAGCTGCCTGAGAGTGTCTCTCAAAGCTGCCACATGGTCCCCCTAAGCCCGCCCCTCCCACCTGTCCCCACAGGTCCCATACTTCAGAGGACAGTGAAGTCTACATGAACTACGAGGGTGGTGACCGGGACTCCCAGCCCGTCTACTGCAATCTGCAGGCCCTGGGTCAGGCCCCACGGGGCCAGCCCCCGCCGGCCCAGACCTGCCTGGATGAAGAGTATGTGGTGCCCGGGCGCTGAGTCTGCAGCCTGCGGGTGGCCTGAGGCAGCCCTGCTCTTCCCTGGCCTCATCTTCCCATCCAAGGAATGGCGCAAACCAGGGAGACCCGTCTTTGGTCCCCACTCTGCTCCTCAGTCCCCTGGCTGCGAGAAGAGGAAGAGCAGGGACCCTTAAAACAAGGACAGGAGGGCTGACACGGGGACCCTGTCATCACCCTGCTGGTTGTGTGCAAATGGCTCTCGGTAAATAAAAACCAGGGGCTACTGGCTGCTGGCTCTAGAAAGGACCTCCTGAGCCGCCAAGACCAGAACTCTGAGACACCAAATTGTTCCAGCCTTGTCCCTCCCATCTGTACCTCACAGGTCCCCCTAAGCCCTCTCTAGGCTCAACCCCTGTGGCAGCCCAAGCTGGCCCTGGAAGACTCTTCCTAATTCATTAATCTGGTCTCTTCCCTGCTCACATGGCTCCACTGCCCCCAGAGCCTCGGCCCTCAAGGTCCAGCCTTGCCTATTCATGACCCCTCATCCTTCTGCCCTCTGGTCTGGATCTCTCGCCCCGCTTCACTACAGTTTGCACTGTCCGCCTTTGCCCATGCCATCCAGGAGGCGTGGGCAGCAGTCCTGGCTCCACTAAGAGCTGGGCCTCAGTTACCCCATATGTTAAGTAGGATCAGAACTGGTCTCTAAGGCTATTTAAAAGACAAACATTTTTTTTTTTTAAAGATTTATTTATTTATTCATACAGAACTGGGGTATAGGCCAGAGGCTCAGGGACGGTGAGAGGCTTCACCAGAGACAGAGTGGGGAGCAGAACAGGCAGATGGACGAAGTACACTGCTGAGGGGAGCAGCGGGCGGGTCAGGAGAGGTCTGGCTCGCCATGTGGTCTCCTCCGGGGCAGGCGGCAGGCGGGAATCGAACTCATGCGCAAGTGGCTTCAGATTCTCAGTGCTGCGCTCCAACCCGCTGCGCCACCAGGGAGGGCCAAAGACAAACATTTTTTATGTGTAGAAGAACTGGGGTGTAGGCCAGAGATGCAGGGGCGGGGCACAAGAGGAAACACCAGAGACCGTGTGGAGAGAACAGATGGATTTACTAAAATACCCTGCTAAGGGGAGCAGCGGGTGAGACAGGAGAGGGCTGCTGCATCTAACGCTATTTTAGCTGAGTTCATCCTTCAAGGGCCACCTTCTTGGAGAAACCTTCCCTGGTTGCTCCTCAAGCCAAATTCTCAGAGCTCAGTGCATTTCAAGAGTTTGGTCAAGCTTATGCTTCAGCTAGGTTTTCATCAACTGACCCCAGCTCCTGCCAAATCCCCAACATATGGGAGGCACAGCTGGATACCCTAAATCCTGGGGGGGGGTGCAAACCTATGCTGGAGGAAGGGATGGAGCTGGGGTTCTCAGAGGGAGACACCTGAAGGAGTTTGAAAAGGCCTCATGGCGGGGGGGGGGGGGGGGATGGGGGGGATATGCAGTGGGGTTTGGAACCTGCATAGGTGGCTGAGGAGCACAGGGGACCAACCCAGCAAGAACCAGCCTGGAGAAGTGAGAGGCACGCGGCTGCAGCGTCCAGCAAAGGCAACAGCTGACGCCTAGGGAGAGACTCAGTGGCCCGGCAAACTTTGGGGGGCCCTAGTATTGAGTTTAAGAGACCCTTGGATTCTGAACACTTGGGAGTGGACCTGGGGCAGATGAGTGGTCCTAAAAGGGTCTTCCTCTGCCTGGCATCCCTGTGTCCCCACCCTTCACGCTGCTCCAGCTCCTGCATTGTGCGCTGTCCTCTCAGCACAAATCAGACTGGCCCTCTCCAGCCACCACTCCCTTCATGCCTTTGTAATGCTGCAGGAATAGGCCTGCACTGCCACCGCCATCTGTGAGATTTGCTGGGGGCTGTCCTCCCACCACAGCTTTGCTCACCCCCACTTCAGTGCCTTTGCACCTGCTGTTCCTTCTGCCTCAAATATCCACCCTCCAACTCTCCCCCTAGTTCTTTCTCCACGTCTCAGTTCAGACATCCCGTCCTCAGCCTCCATTCTCAACAATTCAGTAACTCCTAACACACTTCCTGTGATGGGCTCAGAGGCACAGTTCTATGGCAATCGGCCACCTTCTTGTAATTTATCTCTGTATTGTCTTCCTGGCTTGATGGAGTGCTAGCTGGGTGGGTTTGCCTGTCCTGCTACTTCTGTTCAGTGTCCATTCAGGGCTTGGCACCCAGCAGGCATCACTGAGTATATTCAAGGGAACCTGCAGCATTCTAGTCTGCCTCTGGGTGGCAGCACTCACAGGGGACGCCTCACAACACTGGAAGGAAGTGCAGGGACTGTTCTGGAAGGAGGTACTCCCGTGACAGTTCTCAGGGTGGACAGGTGGGTGGGTGTGGGGAAGGGGCTGGACTTGGCCCATCTCAGTGATTCCAAGATGATAAATAGGAAGACTATATAACCTGGGTGAGGTGTGCATAGACAACGCTCTACTCAACTTATTTCTCCCTGCTCGCTATAGGAAAGGGTAGAGGCATCATTAACATGGAGAGAGGTGTCATCAACAGGCTGTGCGATGGAACCCTTCTAGTTTGGGGGCAGCACCATACACAGTGTGCTTGACTGCAGACAGGTATGACTCTAGGTTGCCTGTGTTGAGAAAGAGAACTCCAGCGCTGGGAGACAGCAGGATGATGATACAGGCAGGGCCAGAAGCAAGAGGAGAGAGAGATGAGGCAGATGGAGACAGAACAGAGGGTCAAGAAACAGGGGGCTAGAGAAGCCCCATGACAGAGGGGGATGTCCCAGGATGCCCTTAAGACTCACTGTCGTCAGAGGGGCCGTTCAGTTGCATGGCAACACAAGAATGCCCCAACACCCATTCCAGACCCCTCCACTCCTCACTGTTCCCGGTTTCCAACCCTGACCAAGGCAGCGAGGGGTTCTTTCCGAGGTCTAGCCAGCCCTGGACACCACAGGGGTTGAGTTACAGTTTTCTTTTTATTCCCAAAGTTTGAAGTTTGTACATTCCCAAATGTACACCATCAGGCCAGCCTTTCCTCAGGCCTCCGGTTCCCAGGCAGATCACCCCAATAAATTAATAATAAATACAAACCTATAAATACAATGCTTTGGGCAGGAGTGGTTATGGAAGGGCTACTCAGTTTTTAAGAAGTCATAGCACAGAAGAATGAGGTCACCTCCTCTGTGGACACCGCAGGAGTGAGGCTGAGGGGTCTCATGCGCAGTGGCAGTCCTTGGCAACTAGGTCGTCGAAGGGCGTGAGGGCCACGCGGCCGTCACTATCCCGGTGCATAAGCACCACCGGCTCGTAGCTGGCGGGCACGCAGCAGGGCGCAGGCGCAGCCTCCGGGTTCAGGCCGTGAAGGCGCGCCTGCATCTGCGCGTGCGTGTTGGCTGACCGGAACTGGCTGGGGCAGGCGCCGACGCAGATGCGCACGTCCACCTCGCGGGGCGCCATCACCCAGTCCGCCCAGCCCAGGTCCTCCAATGACGCGCGCAGGCTCCGCAGGCGGCAGCAGCGCCCAGCCCCGAGCGGGCAACCGTCCGAGCTGCGCGCGTGCGCGCTGCGGCGCCCCCTGGCGGTGGCTGTCAGCCAATGCAGCTCCAACTGGGGCTGTTCCGTAGACCCTTGGGCGGGTAGCGAAGATCGCAGGCGGAGTGTGAGCACCTTTCCAAGGCCGAGCTGACGTCGCAGTGGACGCGTCACGTCCCATGAGATAGGGGCCGTCGGGGACAGTCGGAACAGCGCGCGGTGCAGGCGGGAGGCTTCGGGGAGCCCCTCAAAAAGGGCTGCCTTGGGGATGCGCATACGCACGTGGCTGCCTGGCCCAAGTTGTACTGCAGGGGGTGGAGGGGAGAGGGGAGGGAGCCAGTCACTCTATGGGCTGAATGTACCCATCCAGGGCCTTTGCACGTGCTGTTCACCCTAGCAGGCATACTCTTCCTTACATTTTCCCACATTTTCTCAGCCTGCATGGCACACAGTAGGTGCTTAGTAAATATTTGCAGGAATGAATGTAGAACCCATGTTTAGAGAGACTGAGGTTTCAGCGCTGGCTCTGCCTCCGACCCAGTGCCTGGGGCTGGTGCTACAGCAGTCAGTTACTGGCTCTTTAAATCTCTGGGTCTCCGTTTCCATATCTGAGAAATGAAGAGTGCCAGGTTTCCCCAGTTCCCCCAATACCTACATCAGCGGGGTGAGAGGATAGGGGGAGGGGGAGGTAGGAACCGGGGCTTGAGTGCCTTGGACTCAGTCCCCCTGGCTGGGAGTCTCACAGCAAAATCGGGGTTAGACAGGATAAGAGCGCTCTCTTCTGGTCAGGGACCATTCCCCAAGCCTCTCTCAGTCTATGGTGAAATCCGGGTCTTCCACACATTCTTACTCCTGTAGCCTGAAAGATGGCCACGAAAATATTCCCCTCTCTCCCACCCCTAAGACAACCGTCTCGTGGAACTTTAGCGGAATCTTTGCGCTCGATTGCATCAGATTCGGTGCCAGCCGAGAGGCCGGTTCTGAGCTGCACACAGCCCTGTCCCCGCCCCCTTCCTCCCCTTCGCGTTCTTCTTTCCTCCGGGTACCTCCCCCCCACCCCCAAACACACACCCCTACAACCCAGAGCAGGGACCACTCCTTTTGCCAGACCTGGTCTCTGGGTCCTCCCGGCTCTGTGAGCCTTCAAGAGAATCGCTGGCATCTCTGAACCTGTTTCTCCACCTGGCACCTGGAGAGAGTTTGTAACATCTCAGGCTGGCTTAGCCTCACCTTGTGTCTGTGATACAGTCTGGCTGCCAGTTCCCCCATCACCACAGAAGGGGGACTTTCTTGCCAGGTGGGGAAACTGAGGCTCAGAGGCACACTTGAGGATTCTAGGATAAAGTCACTGGGTACCATGATGGCTGGGGGGACCAGGGTCTCCCAGATTTCACTCACGCTTTGGGATGAGTATCCTGATTTGAGTGGCTGGGATGAGGTCCGAAGTCCTGTCTTCCCAGTCCTGGGTCTCCTCAAGTCTGCTCTGTAGGCTCTCATAGCCCTTCCGTAGCCCCTGAAATCTAGGGACATCCAGACTGGAGGGCAAGTCAGAAGAGCTTGGGAGGTTGGAGAGTTGCTCCTGGGCCAGAGATAGGGCATGTCCGGCCCCCAGCCCAGAAAGCACCAGCAGCATAGGGAGCATTGGCGAGTGGTGGGGTAGTGTCCGGTCCTGTCTGGGCATGAGCATGCTAGTTACACGCAGAGCAGAGACTGACCCGGACGCTGCTGGACAGGCCTTTATAGTCCCAGGACTTTGTCCAACCCCGCCTGCCTGGTCCCGCCTGCGTGGGTGCAGAGTAAACACTGCAGGGACCACAGCTGGTAGGGGCTTCAGCTGAGTTTTGAGAGGCACTGTGGAGGGGGTGTTCCTGTGGAAGATGGGGACAACCCTCTCCAGGAGCCTGTCTGCACCCCAGTAGTCACTTCTGTGAAATGGAGACTTGGTCTCAGCTCACAGGGCTACTGAGAAGGATTTACTCAGAAAGATTTATTACTACTGCTAATTCCATAACAAGACCTTAAAGGTGGCAGGGTATCTTCCCTGGCGGGATGCCTTCTCTGCTTAGGATCAAAGGCTGAAGGAAAAAACAAAGGAAGCAAGGGAGATAGAGCCAGAAAGTGCAACTTTGGGCAAGTTGTGCAACAGCGTTATGCAACCATCACCTCTACATAGTTTCAGAACATTTCATCACCCCAAAAGGAGACCCCCATCCCCACGAGAGGCAGGCCACTCTCCACCTGCCTCTCCCAGCCCCTAATAATCATTGATCTTCCTGCCTGTAAATTTGCCGATTCTGGACAATTCATATTAATAGCTGCACCCAATTTCCGATGTTTGGGGGGGTTTCCCATGCCAACAATTGTCCAACACCTACAATTCAACTCAGTCCCAACCACAGGTAGAAGGCTCAGTCCTATTAGACTGTCCCTCTTCTCCCTCAAGCTGCCACTTGCCCTAGTCCAGGTTGTCATTTGTGCTTCTGACCGACCAACTCCATTTTGGAGGTCCTGTGCCCCCTCCTAGGTTCAATTATTTGCTACAGCAGCTCATGGAATTCAGGAAACCTTTGCTCACTAGGTTACCACCTCATTACAAAGGCTATTGGAGGACACAAGTCACCAGCCAGGCAGAGCACATCATCTCTGCACTTCTTGTTCACCACCCAGCATTCCTCCAAACCTCGGCCTTCTGGGCTTTTATGGAATCTTCAATACAATGGCATGATTGATTAAGTCCAAACTGTTGGAGATTGATTTAATTTCCAGACCACCTCTCCCATGGTCATGGATGGGACTGGAAACTCCAACCCTCTAATCATATCGTTGGTTCTCCAGGCAACTAGCCCCACCCTTAGGTGCTCCCAGAAGTCACCCCATTCACGTCACGAAAGTCACCTTTATCAATCACTCTCAACACCTGGGAAATCCCAAGGGTTTTATGAGCTTCTGTTGGAACAGGGAACAAATATTTATTTACTGCATCAAGGTATCACACAAGTAAATGGATCGCACAGTGTATGGCCCTCTGTGCCTGGTTTCCCGCTCAGCGTCATGGCTCAGGCTCATCCCTGAGGCCATGTGCCAGGCTTCATTCCTCTTCGTAGCTAGTGGTACTCCCTTGTGTGACTGGACCACAACTTCTTCTGTTGTTCCACTGATGAACATTTGGACTATTTTCGCCTTTTGGGTGATTGAGAAATAGTGCTTCTGTGAAGATTCATGTACAAAATTTTGAGGACCTGTTTTTGAGTGTTGTAGGGATATACCCAGAAGTGGAATGGCTGGGTCACATGGTCATTTTATATTTAACTTTTTTCTTTTTTGCAATTTTTAATAGATTTATTTATTTAGTTATACAAGAGCTGGGGTACAAGCCAGAAGTGCAGGGGGTAAGAGGATTCACCAGAGACAGAGTAGGGAACAGAATAGGCAGATTAACCAAAATACACTGCTGAAGGGAGCAGTGGGCAGGACAGGAGAGGGCTGCCATGCCATGTAGGTCAGCTCCCTGGCCAGGGATTGAACTGGTTCTGCAGTGGCTGCGGACAGCTACATAATGCTGTGCTTTAACCTGTTGCACCACTAGGGAGGGCCCTATACTTAACTTTTCAAAAAGTCACCAGACTATTTTCCATAGCTTCTGCCTTTTATTTTTTTAACTTTTATTGAGATGTGACTTACATTAGCGAAAATGGACTAATTTTAGATACTCAGCTCAATGAGATTTCACAAGGATGTTTCCTATGGGATCACTTCCTGGATGAGGTTCCAGAACATTCCCTGACCCAGGAACACCTGGAAGCTTTCCCATCAACTCTCCCAAATCCTGAGTAATAGCTGTGCCTACCTCTATCACCTTTTTCCAGTTTGATCTCAACAGATCCCCAGAAAATCCTCCATTCTGTCAGTGTCTTTCCACGAACACGGTGTATTCTGCTCTCTGGGTTCACCTTTTCCTTGTTACATAGTATTCCACCGTACATATCCAGGAATGGAGTGGTCAGCTCCTGTGTGGATGTCTATATGAGCAGGACTAGTAATTAGTTTTTTTTTTTTTTTTATTCCTGGAACTTCTCAAGGAGATGCAGCAGTGGGGGCCTGGGAGATCCCCAGGGACAGGAAAGGGAATGTTAGCTCCATGGCAGTTTCCACTTCGCCAGATTCTGGAATGCTGGCACCAGTCCCATGTGGCTTCCTTGGCAGCATCTGTAGCCTATGACCTCATGACCAGACCAGTGGCCAAGATTTGAGAAACAGTGGGCAGGCTGCAGACGGAGAGCCAGTCATGAGCTCATGGGGCCAGGACCCTGCATTCCTCTCTGGCACCTTTCCAGGGTCCCCAGAGGCCACTCCAGGCAGGGGTTAAACAGAGTATGGACGTAGGGGTCAGGCTGTTCCCTCCACTTGGCTGAATTTCCCCTATTCACCTGCTTCTTGCCCTGAGACACCACATCAGATACATACAACGCAACAAGAGAACACACAAACCCACTTTTATTGTTTGCTTTTGTGACATGAGGCAAGCAAGGTCACAGTGGGAGATGTGGGAGAGGTCATTAAAAGTCTGCTACGGGTTCACAAGACAGGGAGCACTGCTATCACACCCCATGGACCGCCTTGGGGCCTATGGGTGCCTATGTCATCTGGGGGCTCCCCATCCAGCCCTGGGTTGAAATTCTGGCTTAATTCTCGAGACATCATGCAGACCTGGGAAGCATTATTTCTGTGAACCTCAGTTTCTCAGGACCATCCCCTTATACAGCAGCACTGGGTAAGTAAGTGAGGTTTGATTTAAGCTATCATCCCAACAGTTTACAACTGACAACCACAATTACTACAGGTTGCTGGGTTATGCTATCTCAGCTTCAGCCAGAGCTGGCTTCTGACTAACTCCTACTTATCTCTTAAACCGTAACCTTGCTGCACCCTGTTCCCATAAACCTTCCCGCTATCCGCAGGTTCCTTCAGGGTAAGGGGTCTGCTTTGGGCCTCAGCTTGACTGTGCACGGCCCAAGGGTCTGGTCTGTCTGGCTCTGTGCTCCATCCCCAAGCCAGCACCGTGTCAAGGATCAAGCCTCATGGCCGCTATATTAGTTTCCCATGGCTGCCATCTGGGTGACTTAAAACAACAGAAACTTCATCAGCATTGTAAAGGCCAGAAGTCTGAAGTGAAGGGTTGGCAGACCATGCTCCCAGCAAAGGGTCTGGTGGCCGCAGGTGTCTTCCGTTGATGGCTGTACTAGTCTAGCCTGTGCCTTGCCTTCTGCAGCCTTGTCCTCTTCCTCTGTGTCTTCTCTCTAAAAAAAACCTGTCATTAGAGTGAGGGTACACTCTGTACCCACAAGGATCTCATTCCAAGATCCTTCATTTAATTACACCTGCAGAAACCTGTTTGAAAAAGAGACAACAGGGCCTCCTGGTGGCACAAGGGGTTGGGTCTCAGTACAATGGAACTGTCTGTGGCCACTGCAGTGTGAGTTCGACCCCCCTCCCTGGAGCTGACCCACATGGCACAGCAGACCTCTCCTCTTTGCCTGCTGCTTCCCTCAGCAGTGTACTTCATCAATCTGCCTGTTCTGCTCCCCACTGTCTCTGGTGAAACCTCTCACCGCCCTGCACCTCTGACCTACACCCCAGCTCTTACATGCATAAATAAATAAATCTCAAAAAAAAAAAAAAAGAGACAACAGTAATCAACAGTACCCAAATGGAGTCACTTTTGTTGAGCACTACATCAGCACACCAAGGTTTAATACCTAACTTAGTTGCAGCTTCAGTTCCTCAGGAATGTAACCTTTAAACCAGGAAGCAGGAATCATCTGATTAGTACCAATGAGATAATCTGCCTGAAACACTTGCTTCTGTCTCCTAAGTGAAGGTAATCCTGCCTGAAACAATTCCCTCTTCCTTCACCCTCTGCTTATAAAAACCTTCCAGCACAGATCTCTTTGCTGGATGGAGTACTGCCAAATTCATGAATTATCAAATAAAGCCAATTAAATCTTCAACTTTCCCCACTGACCTTTGTTTTGCCTTTTCCCGAGGGCACAGTCACAAGCACGTGAGGGTTAGGCGAACAGCTCCCCACAGCAGGCATGGTCATTGCCCCAGGAGGGCACACCACGATGAGAGGTGGTGGTGGAGATGCCAATTCTGCTGTAAAATGGGGAGCAAAAAGATAATATTAAGGAGGCACTTGGGGGTAACTACAATGTGTCAGGCTTGAAGAGACCATCTTTATAAAACCTACACCGACCAGATGAGTGTGTTATTGCTGTTTCCCGGAGAAGGTGCCAACAGAGAGGGTGTGTTTGCCAAGGCCACGCAGCCGGCAGCAGTGTTCAGGTGGGGGCCCTGGGCAGACCCCAGTATACTTCTTCTTCCTCTTACACTCCAAGAAGGGTCATGTTGCCCTAAGGAATGAGGTAGAAGAGTATTCCTCCCTGAGTTCTTGAGTCCTTGCGTTTTCTGAGTTCTTGGCTGAGGCCACCTGGAGTAAAAGACAGACAAGAAAAGACCACCAGAAGTTTGATGTGCATGTCTCATGTGGACTTGGGAGAGACCCGGGGAAACTGAGCAAGTGCCTGAGGTGACCCGAACCACCACCACCGTAAGGACCACCTAAAGGCAAGAGAGTGCTGGGGGGTGAAGAAGGGCCACCAGTGTTCACTAGCAGGGTGAACGAGGATAAGGGTAAGATTTGTTTTGTAGATGTTTTCTCCTTTTAAAAAAATTATTATTATTTAAAAAATATTTATCTTAACTGCAGAGGCATTGGGGTTAAGAGGATTTGCCAGAAACAGAGTGGGGAGCAGAACAGGCAGATGTACTGAAATACACTGCTGAGGGGAGCAGCGGGAGGGTCAGGAGAGGTCTGCTGCCATGTGGTCAGCTCCCCAGCCAGGGTGGGGCATGAATCTCCCCACCCGCAGTGGCTGCAGATAGCTTCACAGTGCTGTGTTTAACCCCTTCTGCCACCAGAGAAGTCCCTGTTCTCTCCTTTAATAAGAGCTTCTCCTGATTTAGAGTCTTCGGTCCCTTCTTAGTACAGAGAGTGAGACACGCTTACAAAAGGAAACTTCTGTTCTTTACAAAAAGGCGTCCTCTACTCTCTTTTCAGAGTTTCTCTTCTGTCTGCACTGTCTCAAAATAACCTTTAGGCCCAGAGGCACACTGTGCTTTTCTACTAGCTTCTCACACGAACCATACACGTGAAGGGATGTGCAGCAGGGGTAGACTCTGGCTTGCACTTCTTGGGCATTGTGGGAAGAACCCCACTGAGGGGAGGGAGACCAGGAGACCCAGGACCAGCTCCTGACTCTGCACCTCGGGCAGGTGGCTTTGCTCCCTCCCCTGTCCTGAGGAGAAGTGCTCTAAAAGAACCCATCTACTCATACACTCATTCATTCTTCCCACAAATATTTCTTTAGCATCTATTATGTTCCAGACCTCCTTTTGAGTGGCAAAAGAAATTGCTAGAATGAGAGGAGTAGAGGGAACAGCGTTCCTGGCAGAGACAAAGCATATTCAGAGGCCTGAGGTCAGAAGGTCTCACACAGGCAGCTCCAGTAGACCCAGGTGAGCTCAAGAATCTGAAGGTGAAGCTAGGCCCGTGGTCATCCATTACAGGTGGAGGGTTCAAATCCAGGACTGGCTTATTTTCGACCTGTGACAGGCGAACAAGAACCTCTCATCCCAAAAATCATTTCCTTCTCAAGGGCAATTTCCTCACCTGGAAACGTGGGTAGCCCCTGTTCAGAATCAAGGTAAACTCAAAATATCTGTGCATGTAAATACACTCCCAAAAGTGTGCAATCAATGGAGGGTTCACTTCTTGAGCAAACATTTTAAAGTTTGCAATTGTTTTATTGTGGCAAAATACATGTAACATCAAAAACATCATTTTAAGCATCTCAAAAAGAACAGCTCGGTGACATTTGGAACACTTACAATATGGTGCAACCATCACCTCTCTGTTACTGGAACCTACCCGCTCAGGAGAGGGAGCCGACAGAAGGGGTACTCTCCCTCATCCTGTTGCTCCACCACAAGCCAGTTGTGGCAGTTGTTCCTCAGAAGCCAGCAACTGTCCTTTTATGGGCACTTCCTGGATTGTGGCGCGGAGCAGTCGGGTATGAACTGTGAGCTGATTGGTGCTAAATGGTCCAATCAGCGACAGGGTTGAAAAATGGTCCAATCAGACGTGTGAACATGGCACTCTCAGAGAGGACGTAAGCCGGGTCAGCGGGAACTGAGAGAGGCTGTTCCAGCCTCTGAAGAACGTGGGGAAGACGATCCCTGGCCTTGGGAGAAAGAAGTTGAAAGATGAAAGAGGCGCCCAGCAGTTGACCTCTGAGGAGGGAAGAGAGGCTGAAGACCTCTGTCAGAGACCGGGCCTCCTTTCCTGTCTCTGACACCACCTGAAAGGAGCACCAAAGGCCCGGGGCCTGGTGTCTAAGAGCTGCTTGTTGGTGCAGACCATCAGTTCACAGAGACCTGTTAAACTTGATGTCTCTGAACCTCTCCTGGGAGACCAGTAGTGACCATCACTACTGGTTGCTGCTGTCCAGCACTCCTGGTGACCAGTGGTGACCACCTCTGCTGGCCAGTGTGGTCCAGCTCTGTTGACAGGTGACCAGTACTCTGCTTGCATTTCTGGTGAGATAGACAGCCACTTGTGGCTACAGTGAGCTCTTTGTTTCCCCTGCTTGTAAAATAAACCCATCGTTGTTCCTGGAGCCTGAGGTCTCTTACAATTGTACCTGCAGGTGAGAACCCAGAAACAGTGACCTGTCCTCTTATTAGGCACTGTCCTTCATTTGGCTATAACCGATAGGCCTCTACTGTGTGGGTATTGTATTGTGATTGCCTTTGGTTTTGGTTTTTGGCCTTTTGGGGCTCTTTGGCTACTCTCTTGTTTTAGGGCCTGGGCAGGTGGGTGGCCATTCTACCTACCAATGATCCTACCATCCAACCTTCTGCCCTGAGTGCCTGTTTCATATCTAGTTCTAAAACAGGACTGTTTGGGTACTATACCATTCAAGGACACTGCCCAACAGAGGCATGTCTGTGGGTTCTTTACCTACACCCACAATTGCAAGACCACTCAGGTTCAGGGCGCAATAACAAACAGGAGAAACAGTTTCCAAGGCCACAAGTGGTGAGCTAGCTCCCCCCAGGTAAGTGTCTGCAGTGTCCGGAGGTCCCAAACGAAAGGCCGCTCATCCAAGATGGCGCTGTCTCAACAATGAGGGCCTGGAATGCATGGTAGCTACAGGGAGCCAGCCAGGAGCCAACTCATGGTAGCAGCTGGAGGCACACATGCAGGGCCACAGAGATGACTCTGGTGGCCCATAGCAACAGTCGGAAGGTCAGGATGAACAGCACCTGACACTGGACCAGACAACAGAGAGCTGCACTGGGAGGTGATGCCCGACGATGGGTAAACAGCTCTCAGCAAGCCCGTGGCCCATGCCAACAAAAGAGCTCAGAGAGAGACTAGGCCCAGGGCCTTTGGTGCTTTTTGCTTCTTCTTTCTGAGGCAGGTGAAGGGTAGCAGGTGGGAGTGGGCATCCTGGCATCTTGGACTGTGTGGGGAGTCTGGGAGGTGATCCTCAGATGGCCCCTACCCTGCCTTATATCCCCTTCTAGGGTCCCCCACCCTACGTGATACCGGCCAACTGGACAATTTAACCTGGCTGGCACCCAAGGGAGGGACTGCCCACAGGTAACAACTTTTGGCAAGGGTGGGTAAAAACAGCCACATTTTCCTAATGGTTCTCACTGCTTAGTCAGCAATGGAAAAACACCAGACTTGTCCTGCAGTCAACACTTCAGGGCCCTGGAATCAGTTCTAGAACATTTCATCCCTCCAAAAGCAGCCCCAAGTACAGTCATTCCTTCACACACACACACATACCAGTTTCTGGAAACCGTAATTTTACCTACTATTTTTATGGATTTATCTGTTCTGGATATTTCATATAAATGGAACCATACAATATGACTTATGTTTCAGTGATTGTGAAAAGTGCTGTTATTAATGTGTGTACAAACTTTTGTTTGAATACCTGTTTTTTGTTCTCCTGGGTCTACACCAAAGAATGGAATTGTTGGGTCATGTGGGTAATTTGATGATTTAACTTGCTAAGAATCAACCAATCCTTCTGCCACCAGTTTTATACTTCATTTATGAAATATTTCAGATTCATACGAAAGTATCAGTTATAAAATAAAAATCACCCACTTATCCAGCACCCTGGTAAAGAAACATTCCCAAGAGAACTGATGCCCCTGTTCAGAGCCCTGCTGCCCGCTATACTCCTTTTCCTTATCTCAGGGGAGCCTCTAATGCAACTGGGAGTTGGCCATCCTCCTACATATTTTATACATAAATATGTGTGTGTACCTGTATATGCGTGTATATATATAGCCACACACTGTGGTTTTAGGTTAAACATATATGAACGTTCATCAGCAAGATGGGGAAGTCCCAGCTTCCACTTCCCCACAGGAATATCAAACAAGCAAAAATGATCAGGACCCTCTTTGTTAGAATTCTGAAAAACAGGGCTCTCCCTGGTGGTGCAACAGGTTAAAGCATAGCACTATGAAGCAATCTGCAGCCAATGCAGAATGAGTTCGATCCCCGGCCAGGGAGGTGACCCACATGGCACAGCAGACCTCTCCTGTTTCTCCCCCTGCTCCCCTCAGCAGTGTGTTTCAGTTGCTCTGCCTGTTCTGCTCCTCATTCTGTCTCTGGTGAATCCTCTCACCCCCCACACCTCTGGCCTATACCCCAGTTCTTGTATGCATAAGTGAATAAATCTTTTTTTAAAAAATCCTGGGTTTCACTCATAGCAGGAATACAACGGACCAGTTGAGAAAATAGTGATAATGATGAACAGCTACATACCAGAGACATTTTGTGGGGGTGGGGTGGGGAATGGGATCAAAAACAGTGGGGGAGGGAAATGCACGGGACTATGATGATGGCACACGGGTGATTTGGATGGGAAGCCCAAGGGGATTGCAACTAAGATGGAAAAAGGCACAAAATGATGTAAAAATAAACATATCATTATATAATATATAATATACTTATTATTATATAATATATAATGTAGACTTATATAATATATACTTATATTATTCATTAAAAAAACCCTGAAAAACAGCAAAGCTGAAAAACAATGAGACAATGTAGAAGCAAGAAAAATAAAATTTCAAAAAAAAAAAAAAAGAAATACACAGGGGCATATTTACTTGTCCTTTTCTACCCCCTCTCAGCGAGGCTGCAGTGTTGAAGCAGCCAGAACTGTTCCAGGTTCAGGCCTGGGTCCCAGCTTCTGAAGATAACAAAGCAGACCTTAGTCACACATTGTCTGTTCAAATGGGCCTGAGGGTTTCTGAAGTGCTGGCAACTCTCTGTGCTTTCCCCTGTTCCTGAGTGGCCTAACTCATAGCGAGGTCAAAAAAATGGGGACCATC